TAATATATATATATATATATATATATATATATATATATATATATATATATATATACAGTAACGTATACAAACGCATACCTTTTCTCTTACTATTGTGTTCAACCACCTCACAACTTTGTATTTGCTGCAAGTTGCAAAATCTTTCTTTAAACTACATTCCGTTTGACATTTTTCAACAAAAAGATCCGTCGTATTGTCAAAAACCAATGAATGAGTCCGTCGTGAACAAATAATCAACAAGATAAACATCCAACACGATATTTGGACCACTCTTGGACGTCCAGCTTTGCAAGACCATTCGATAACTCCGAAATATCTGCACTTCATAATTTCGCTCGAGGATTTCAACTTTGCACTATTATTTTGATTTTTATTAGCTTTGATCAATATTTATATTTCATTGCAGACAGTGATGACGATCACCTGTCTCGCTTTGAACTTTTGTGTAGTCATTATTAATCATTAGTAATCATTAGTAATCATGAGGATTACATCAATTCTTATGAATCATCGAGATGCATTGTATCGAAAGAGAATTTCGTAATTAATCAAAAGAAATCATAAGTGATGAAGTCAAAAGATCCGAAAAGATCGCGCACTCTTTTCACAGAATGTTGCACGTTGCAGAAAGACGAGATTAGATACATACGCTCACTGACAGTGGTTAGAAGGTGTTCTGACCATTTATACGGCGTGCATTTAGGTCGGTGGGGGTAACGGTCCATGGCTTAGATAATGCTGTGTGCGGAGATTGCTACTGCACTCTACGCGATAGGACGTCTCAAGAGATACTCGAGAATACGCTGACGGTCGCCCGCTGCTCGTGGAAATTCTGCGTAAATGCGACAATGAAACAAACTCACCGCACCATAAAATTCGTGATACAAATTAAATGGGATATTTTTAAAATGAGGAAAGATTGTTTAAAAGATTACTCGATAGCATCGCGAGAGCGAAATACTTCTCGAGTTATTAAATTTGCCAATCACGTTTACATTTTTTTCAGATTTGCAAAATATAAAAGAGCATTTGTTTAATTTGCATGTAAGAAAGATTAATTTCCTTTTCAAAAACCCAAAAATCTAATTATCTTGTCCGATTGATCCATTAAAATCGAATAAAGAGAAGAATACATTTGTACTTTTGACATTTGTACTAAGCAAGAATATAATTTTAACGGTATATCACAGCTGCACGACTAAATTGTCAACCTAATAGCCGCCAGACAATCAGAGAGATATTTCATGAAGAGCTTGGAGCTTACCTACAGAAACAGTGGTGAACCACATCGTGATCGTTAAACGTTTGCGTATTCCATTTTCATTTCCGTGATTACCAAGCGGGACGTCCTATATCGAATTTTTAAAAAGGGAACAAACGACGACACGTGTATGACCGTGATGACAATGTCCTCTCGTCAACCGTTTTAAAGATCCAGCGAAGGGTCTCCTCTCCGCGACATTTTTTTCTCCACATAATTGCGAACGAACATTCCTCGCCGCCGGTGAGGAAGCGCTACATTTTCCGGTGCACCCACCCGCAACGGCCGCTGAGTTTTTTATCGCGGATAATCACGGGTAACGTTATAATTCGTAAATTATCTCTTTGTAAAGCAGAAATTAAGCCCTGTGAAATTGGGCTAAATTTTGTTTTTTTTTTTTTTTTTTTTTGAAGAAAATATTCTCCCGCCAAGAAGTTTTCAAATTAGACTCACATAATCCGCATGATGTTAATATTGTTAAATCTCATGGATCACTCTTCTTCTTAACCGAAGAACTATCAAAATACCGTAACCTTTCTATTTTAAATTTAATTAAACTTTAGAATTTCCTATAAATATCCAGATTTAAAAATTAGCAATTAGGATTTAGCAATTTCAGACAATGAGATATTATATCCAGTTTAATTTCAATTTAAGACTTTAATTTGAAATTTCATGCCAAATATTAAGACATGTAAAGAAAAGTCACGCCTAGTCGGTTTTCTGCCCTACAAAAGAAAATAAAGATTATAAAGATTCAAGATTATGATACAAAGTATAAGGAAATATACGATGCTATAAATTGAGTGTTATATAACATGGCCAATAAAATGCGGTAAAGGGTAAACAAGAAGAATATAGAAGACGATTGATTGACCTATTAACGCCATTGCAATCTTCATGGGGAATCAGGATATCACACATATATATACACACACATGTGTTTGCGATGCAGCCTCTTTCCGTAACCGGTTTGCACGACAGTCGTTCGCTTTACTTTGGCCTTGCGTCGAACTGTTTAAATCCAGTATAATATTAAAAATTTATTTTTCTTCCTTGATCAATATCTGATCTTCTCGCTATGCTTGACATATTACAAACAAACGTCATTCAAGCGACGCTATACCATATAATAAAATTAAATAAAATTGAATAAATAAGACTTAATATATAATTGAATAAATAAGGCTTAATAAATAAAATTGAATAAATAATAAAAAAGATGAAGTGAACATCTGTCGTTGGCTTTTCAAAAATCTAAGTCTCTCTATATATGACTATAACCTTATGATTTTTATAAACGGCATTTTCTTGACTTGTAATCATCAATATCTTTTAAATTTGCTGTATTTATATGTCTATTTTATATTGCTTATAGCAACATATTGCACTTCTAATTTTCTACTGATTTCAATCAAGTGAGTTCAACAGCAAGTTAAGTTCTATAAGTTACACGATGTGTGTTACCGCATAAAGCTAGATAATCTTGTAGATATCAAGAGCACAAAACTTATAATTATCTGATTTTTTTTTTTATTGGTAATACGTATTTACTGACGATCGTATTAATGATTCGATGTGAAAAAACGGAAACTAATTTTTAAAACCGGAAATGCTCGTCAAACTTATTTTTCGGGCCGGAAAAGAGGCGCGCTTCGTTAACCCACTAAATCCGGATAATATATTTTTGTCGTACGCAAACCCGGAAAACCTCGTCTTACTCCACTGGCCTGGAAATTTGATCTAGCGCATTTGCATGAGGAACATCACCGAAAGATAATTTTTCGCGCGTGACACGCGGTGACGGGGTTGCAATGACGAGGAACGGATAACAAACGTGCCATTCGTCAGGCATGTCGAACACGTACATGTGCATGCGAGCTTTCACTCGCGGTCGCGGGGCGCGACGCAAAAAAAGACAGAGGCACCTGACAGAGGCGCCTGATGTTCATCGACTTCTGCAGCAAGGATCACGAGAACAAGAAGACGTCGCGCGACGGGCGAGCCGAGTGGGCGAAGCGCACGCTTATTGACTACGATGTAACCTGCTTACCCCTTTGCTCGGCTGACCCAGTATGGGACGCCGACAGGATATGAAGTGGTAATATTGCTGCAACCAATTACCGATCTCGATATTCCAGCTTGTTACACATTCTCGATCCGAAAGCAGATTCTTGGGAGAGGATCGCGCAAGAATCTGTCTACGAGAAGAAGATCAGTACGCTCTTCAAGCATTACCAGACGTCATCGATCATAAATCGAAGTCCGCTTAATAAAGACCGGTGATTGAAAATTTATCAGCGTACGCTCGATGGAATGTAGATTTGTCGTCGTTTTATCTCGAGAGAGATAATGAAATAATCGAAATAATTTTCAGACAAAAGAGATCTGAAAAACGTTTTTAATATTCCACATAATCTTCCAGAAAATATCATAATCAATATTATTTTATTAAAGATTAACTGTGTTGTTTATATATTTTGATATAATTAATTTGAAATATTTTGTTTTAATACAATCTCATCGCATATCCGTCATTTAAATTCTTCCCAAAATAAACATTCCATACATTCAATTTCTTCGCGTACGCATGTCTCCGTTTGCAAAATAAAGATTTTGCAGTTATAAAGCGAATTAATTTATCTTAGAATTATCGGTAAATCATTTCGACAACCTCGTAATAATCAAGATCTGATATCAAAAATGAATAAAGCATAAACATACACTTACGAGACTACACAGATATTAACCTTGATACAAATGCACGCTTGCAACAATGTTACCATCAATTTATTTTACTCTGTGTTAAGAGCCACAACTAAATCGTTAATATTCATCCTAGAGGTGCAAGATTTATCTTAGTGGTTTAGTTACGATTACTTTGTGATGTTTACGACCTATTTCACAAAGATCATACGTTATATAAACGGTGATATTGCATGTGGCGAAATAATATTATCAAATATTGTTAAATTCATTTTCAAATTCATATTCAAATAAAAATCTTATCTTAACTGTTGGGCAGACATTTTGAATGATGTAGAAAAAATTATAAAGATATTTATAAAACTTGTTTTATATTAAATCAAAATATTATAAGTAAAATATAGAACTGCTTTTACACATCTTTAAAAAGATAATTTTTAAAAGATAATTTTGCAAAAAATAATTTTTATAAACAAATTTTTCATGTTTCATATCAGTTAAAGCAATTATATTTCAAATAATAAATATTTATTCATACTGTGTCACATATCTTTAATGAATTATTAATTCACACTCAGCGATCCGAACAGAGACATATTTAGTGACAACTATGATGACCGGTTCGTGACTTGAGAAATGTCTCGAGATTAACCTGAAGAAGCATCGATTAAAGTCTTTGACTTTTCATCATTAACATTGTCAGATCATAAACTACAAATTGTCGCATAACAATCATAAATAGAAAATGCTTATATTTTTCTTTGAATCACACTCAAGATAAAATTTATAAAAAATAATAATATATAATATAATATATATATTATATAATATATATATAATATATACTAATATATATATATA